TTGGGTGATGATCAGCAGCAGTTCACCAACGGCAGTCATTCGCTCCATGTTTTCTTACTCTGCTTCCTCCTCTGAAGTCTCTCTCGTCCGTCTACCTCACTCATGCAATGTTTGATCCCCGGGGCCAACTTCTCTTCCTTTCCCCATGTCCTATGCCTTCTCTCCGCACACTCATACCCTGTCCCCCTGAAGTAAACGTAAAGTCCCTTTCCCTTCCGCAACATACCTTCTGCCCCCTTGCTCGAACGCAAGGTCATAACACTCTCCCCCCCCCCCACCGTCCTCTCCCCCCCTGAAGTAAACGTAAGGTCCTCTTCCTTTCCGCAACCTTCTTCCCCCTTCATCGAACGCAAGGTCATAACGCCCTCCCCCGCCCGTCCACAAACTTCATCCCTTTTACCCCTAAATAGAACGCACCCTCATTATTGCTGTGTGCCCCAAAGACAGGCATATCAACGAATGACTGTCTGTCTGTCGCATTCAGGGGAAGGCCCTAGTTCTCCTGCCTGGCTACATTTACTCGCTGCAAGCCATAAGCCGAAATATGAGTCCCCCTCTTCTTCTCCTCTGGCTTGCTCCTCGATGCAATGCCTCCTCAGACATTGTCCACCTGTCTCTGTTCCCACACAACCACCCTGATATTCGTGCACCTCCTCACCTCTCTTATAACCGTGTATATCCGTCCCGCTTTACCTCTCTAGAATGAAGGAAAATGCCTGCCATTCAGAGTTCCGCACGCATCCCCATCTGCAATTATAGTAAAGAAAAACACACTCGTCTCATTGTTTTCGAGTACAGTGAAGGGTTTTGTGCCCTCGTTTCCCGAACTGGTTCATGCATTAAATCACATCCCTCTACCTCTGCTCCCATACAACCACCCTCATACGTGCACCTCCTCACCTCTCTTAACTATGTATATCCTTTCCGCTTTCAAAACACACTCGGTTCGTTGTTTGTCGAGTACGGTGAAGCATTTTGTGCGCTCACTACCAGCGGGACCCTTGTTCATGCGTTAAATCACACCCACCCCTCTATCTGGATCGTCAGAGCCAGTTGTCAGAGGCTCTCCATGACACCGATCGACGGATCCCAGCTGTTTAGAACAATCCCTACAGTTCCGGATCGTGCACTGTGACATCTGTTAAAATTGAGAAATGATAAAAATTAAAATAAAATAAAATAATGAATGATAGTATTCCGAAAAAAAAAAACACTGATTTCGAGAAAAGAAATTCCTATGGTGTGACAGTCGTATAAGAAAAGACCATATTCTTATTTATTCATATACTTATTTATGCATACACTTATTTGATTGTGTATGTCCATTTATTTTAGTACATTTTCACCGCGGCACAGATTCATTTGGAGACGATACCAAACCAAGATGCTCTTCTGGTTCGGTCAGATTCATAACGATTTTGTCGCTCAACCAATCGCCGACAATGTGACGCGAAAAAAAAAACAAAAAAAACTGAACCTTCAAAAACAAAAAAAAACGAACCTTCTGGCGGGTGCTACTGTTCCATTACTAATTAAGTCGGTCGAAGTAAAAAAGTCAAAACCTGCAGGCTACAAAAGGCCTTCTGCCTTCATCTGTTTACACTGTGCAGGGTCTTGTATGGGGGCTGTAATCGTGTGGGTGTGGGGTGTGTGGGGTTAAGGTGTAGTGGTGTTAGCAGTGTGGATATTGTTGGTGTGGGGGTTGGGGGTATGGGTGTTAGCAGTGTGGATATTGTTGGTGTGGGGGGTTGGGGGTACGGGAGTAACAAGGTATAGGGTTAGGAGTTGTACGGTGGTGACCTGCAATCACCACCGTCTTCAATCCGAATAGAACGCCTGGTCATTATAGCTGTATTCATAGCAAAGTTCATCACAGATGCAGCTATAACGACCGGGCGGTCTATTCGAGTGAAGACCGTAGCAATTGCAACTTCATGTTCTCAAGTTGACGAGGACGACGAGATATCCACGATGCTCATCCCGACAGATGAGGGCGAGTAGATTGTTTTTGTATGTAAGGGGTAGTAATACATACCACGAAGTCTTAACGCGAAACATAACGATGGACAAGAGCGTCGGAGGAGCGATCTTACTATGTCCAATTCGAAAACTTCCATGCTGTACTGAAAGTACCACCTCATCCTTATGTGTACGGCGAGTGTACATGTAAATGTACCCGAATCAGTACGTGGACGTGATCCCGTGTCAGTACATGCGCATGATCCCCGGGCAGTACATGTACATGAACCCGGGTTTTGTGACTGCCCGAGAGGTACATGCATGAGAACTTCCGTTGTTTATCCGCAAGATGAGGGGAAGCAACCAACCTAACCTACGTATTCTTCTACCTTATGTTCGACATTAAGAAGGCGCTGCGCAATTAGACGCTGCGCGCTTCGACAAGCGATTGAACAATTTGCCAGGAAGACCGTTTGGATATGAGGGTGGGCCGGACCCACTGGAAACCGTGCTTCGAAATTCGTTTTTGCTGGACTTCTCCTCTTTCCCAGTGGCTGGACAAGTAGGTGGGTGCCATTAAGGCGGGTCCGGAGAGAGGCCCCTGATAAGAGAAAATGTCAGGTGCGCTTCTTGGCTGCAACCTGCGTCAGAGCAATGCATGCGCGCTTCTTCTGTGAGCTCCCATGCATGCGGATGTATATGAACACATTTGTTGACACGTTCCATAGTCCAAATTCCCAATCTGACGGAAGGAGGGCCGTGTGCTTCATCGAACTCTTGCACGGATGGTCCGGAGAGGAGCGATTGTCCGACTATTCCACACACTGCTTATGCCCTATCTAGCCCAATGATTATACTGCTCATACCCTCTATCTATCTATTGGGTCGTTCGTTGGTCGGAGTCCAACCTAGGGATTCTGTTCTGTGTTCAAAATCTTATACAGTCGACCGACATTCTATCTTTTTTCTGACCTAATTCTAATTAGATGATTAGACTAGAGACGATGCACAGGCGTTTTGTTGCCTGCCTCGAGAAGCAAAAAACAGGCTACGTATGGCCGCCTCTGTTAGTCATCGTTCTCCTCTCTACTCTACTTCTGAAGCAGAAGTCTTATGCCTGGAAGCCTGTGTTTATCGTTCTTCTCATCGTTCTGCAACTGCAACGACGATGACGGCAAGTCTAGTCCCCCAGCATCAATTCTCTCCACGTGTTGCTCTCTACCGTCCCCCTCCTCACTCCTGTCCATATCCCGATCGACGTACTATACGCAGCTCGAGATCTTGCGGCTATGACGGTCGCGATTCCGTCACTGAAGCCGCTGCCTTCATCATATCCGTTGCACGTATAAATTGTAATATACAGAAAAGGAACAAGACGGAAGTACGAGAAAATGCAAAATAGGTCAGTGAGCCGTGATTGAGCAAGCAATCCGCTTCCACGGTCTTTACCCGAATAGAACGTCCAGTCATTATCGCAGTATCTGGACTGGAAGTTGCACCAAATTCAGCTGTAATGACCGGAAGTTCTATTCGGATAAAGACAGTAGTAGGTCGCACAGGCAAGCGACAACCACGAGGCGTCAAAAAGTGCAGCGATTGTGATGGCGGGACTATTCCTTTTGAAACTGGACAGACTACATCCCAATAGATTTTCCCGCCAAATCTTCCCAATAGATTTTCCCGCCAAATTTTCCCAATAGATTTTCCCGCCAAATCTTCTCTTCCAATTCGCACGGAGACTTCGCAGCGATGTCATTTTCAACACGTTGTGTAATCAATCTCATTCCCGCCAAATCTTCTCTTACAATCCGCACGAAGACTTCGCCGCGATGTCGTTTTCAACACGTTGACGAGTGACCAATCAGTAATCAGTCTTTTGACTCCGTGATCTCTTCTTCCTCCGCATACCGTCCGACCACTCCGCTCGAAATTTACGTTGAGCTGCAGGCTGGCGATTCAGACGGAAGGATCTGACTAAGTAACATTCTCGCGAGCGAAGCTTCTCTACAGACTTCTTTTCTATTTTGCCTGTGCGAATGACATCTATACAAATTGTTAAAACCTTTATGACAAACTCGTTTAAGCAAATGGGAATTCGTTATATCGTCTTCCCAAACTCCTCAACGCGTCTAAATTGATAAAACCTTTACGCACAAAATTCTCATCATTCCAATTAGCGTCATCTATCTTCTGCCGAAATCGGTTCACATTACGGCCAACAACGAAACGTTAGATCCGTTTCACAAATAGAAACGAACGAAAATTCGTTGAATCGTTTTCATGAACCCTAATTTCCCCTATATTTTTGATACACCTCTATGTCGAAATTACCATCACTTTTTTCCGAAAACGTTTAGCCTCTTCGAAAACGTTTTTCCTGCTGAAATCGGCTTTCACATAAAGGATTAACAGGAAAATTTCGAGCTTACGAATATGATTTGATACCAGTAAAATATTATGCATTTATTTAAATCAGTTCACATCCGTTCAACCGATCAAAGGAGTAAGAGAACAAGGCCTCGACTGTCGTCCTCGACGTACGAGCAAGAGACCTATCAAACAATTCAGCTGAATTCTTCTCTAAATTTCACCTTTCACTTAACACCTATTTAGAGAAGTTGGCCCGGTATATAGGTTTAGTAACTAAAATAGGTATTAAGTGAAAGGGGAAATTTAGAAAAGAATGAAGCGGAATTGTTTCCTAGTAACTAAACCTATATACCGGGCACCCCTTCGCAAGGCTAGCTGCATCCCACAATTAAGAACATGCATATTGCCCCGCGCCCTAATTCGGCAGTGGTCAGGCAGTAGGGTTGGGCCGTCGCCGGTGCGGAGGGAGTGGGGACCGTCAACACAAAGACCGAGCATACAGCGCAACCCTCCGCCCCCCTCCCCTGCTTTATAAAAAGGGGTCGAGCAAAAGATAAGTACAACACCATAGAACCAAACAAATGGTAGCATCCTACCGGATGCTAAATAAGTAACCTACGGTTTACCTATCGTAACATATACAGGAAAGAACCCATTATTCCTTCGCAAAAAGCACACGTGCAAAACTCGACAGCACGATTTTCCTTTCGGAATAATAACTTCGACGTTCGATACTCCTCTCCAACAGCCTCGTGCGGTCCTACCGGTGCTTTTCGAACGGAAATCGTCAGGTCCTACTAGACGGAACCCAATAAGGCAGGACGGCTTCGGTTCAAAAAAAGCCCCCGAAGTCGTGGACAAGAACGCCAAAGTTGCACCCCAAAGAGGTAAATCAGTACGGCAGAATAAGATTCCGACACCTGTCCTGCGCCTGTCCAGCATAATAGTACAAACATTCCACCGAACACAACAGCCTCGTTACCGTATAAGACGGAAGAGCACTCGTTATTACAAGAGTGGATTCTGTTCGAGAAGAGACAGTATAGTGAGGACGATGCCTCACCGTGACTACCTGTCTCCCACTGAAAATTACACAACCTCATCATGCCCGTATCGGACCGGAGAGTCAGCTTGTTTACATTCATTAAATGGGTACATTGTGCTCGTAGAGAGACTGGTAAGAACACTGCCTCTCCTAAAGTCCGACGCCTCTCCGTTACTACGATCTTCCGCGAAATACAACACTCCCTCATCATGTCCGTATCGTACCCGTAAGTCGGATTGTATACATTCATTACGCGAGCGCATTGTGTTCGGAGGCAGCCAGTAACGAGTTCAATGGCTTTCCATTAGAGAGAACGACGCCTCTGCGTTAGCAAGTCCGATGCCTCTCAGTTAGTCAGTCCGATGCCTCTCCGTTAGTCAGTCCGATGCTTGACGCTACGTAACAAAACCGCAAAGCCCTCTCAACGATGTAAAGAAGGAAAATGCCACTTAACCAAAACGATGAGCTTGCAACATGAGATGTGATGAAAGAGGAAAAGGAAAAGATCCACGTGCTACACACGTGCTACACTAAAGCTCGCGTGAGGGGATCCATTCCTGAACATGCCTTGTATCCATTCACGATTTTCCTCGCTTTGGAGCAACGAAGCCAACATTCCAGAAACCGTGACCGAAACGCATTTTCAAACCGAAAGAGTGTCTGCGCCCTAATTTTCCCTTTCTGAAATTCTCTTAAAAACTCCGACGTCCTCGATTAAAAACTCCGACGTCCTCATAATCGATTCAATTAGGGCCTCACGGGACTCATTTTGGCTACAGTACCATTCGCCGCTAAACTCCTCCCATTATAACAAAATCTCACATTACCTCCGATGCTTCCATTCAAGCTAATGTCGTGACAGAAAGCATGCAAGCAGTCGTAAGAAAAAGAAAATTCCCCCCGAAAGACATTGCACATTCAAAACCTAAAACGTTTAATCCTGACCCCAACAGAGTAATCAGGAAGGTCATTCCCACATTTACGTCTTGCAAATGATACCGAACAGAATATTCAGAAACAACAGTTGAATGTGAAAAACCCAATTCACACCAAACATCAGGATCGAAGTACAGAACGACGGAGGACACTCGCAGATGACATAAAATCGACAGGCTCAACGTATTAACAGAAAGGACGACGGCCACGAGAGAACATAATAAGGCAGAGGCTCCAGGTACTTATCTGGTTGCATTTCGATTTCAACAGCGGGAAAAGACCACATAGTCATGAGAAAAGACTACATCACAGATAGGAGAAAAAATAACAGAGTCCGGAGAAAGAGCACCATGGTCCAACAAAAGAGCCCCAGAGTCGAGGGAAAGAACAAAGTCATACCGCACAACAGCAGAGTCAGGAAGTAAAAAAAACATAGTCAAGGAACACAACAGCAGAATCATGGGAAAAAACACCAAGAGGAAAGAACAACAGAGCGAGGGGAAAGAAGATAAGGGTTCGGGGAAAGACGGCCACCACACTCAGGTGAAAAAGCACCACAAGAGTCCGGGAAATGACGGCACAAAAATCAGGGAAAAGAAACCCGTCAGAGTCAGGGTAAAAAAAACAACCGGAGTCAGAGAAGAGAAACCCACCAGAGTCAGGGTCAGGGGGAAAAAAAACACCAGAGTTTAGGGAAGGAACACCAGAGTCAAGTTCGGGATAATTCCCAAGGGATCGACTTTGTAAACCTGGAACAGAAAACTTTTAACGAAACGAAACATGCCAGGGCACTCTCAAAACTTGGCAAAACATGATGATAAAGATTATCACTCTGCGCACGCTACGCCATGAAATTCTTTTGTCCTGCTCCTCTTGCATGATTAACAAGACCGTCACAAAGAAGTCCCGCTCTGCTTGCGTAATTCACCAACCCTCAAACGAGTTACAAACCCTAAATGCCGGTCTCTTTTGATGTGGCCCTAAAACCGCCCGCCGAGAGTCAACACCCAGGATGAGAATCTGCAAAACCTAGCTACGCCATCCGCTTCACTCTTGGCACCAAGAACCACTCCATCCCCACCATCCTCCCCGTTCCTTCAACCCATACCCCACGCATGCTCACCAACCATTCATTCACCCTACCGGCCGCCGGCGAATATGAACGTCCCCGTTTCCAACAGCATAACTCCCGCGATAGAAGAACACCGCACGGATTCCAGAGTCTTCTTCCCCCCCTCCTAGACACGCGAGCTGCTGCAGAGATAAACCCATTCCGACAGTGGCTTGTGTTAACTAGCCAGGGGAATTAAGAACGGCGAAATACCGTATTCCGCTCACGGGAAACGTCTGCTTGTCCAGAAATACACGGGGTTCCTGTTACGTTCCTCCGTTAAAACCACAGTTCAGACACGGTGCGACTGTTCCCTCGCCCAGGGAATAGCTCGTTTTGAAGCGAATAGGTCAGCGTCTACGCACCGCCGGCGCCTGCGCCGCCGCCGCCGCCGCCGCCACCACCACCGCCCCCACCGCCCCCGCCTTGCCCACCGAGAGCTCCGCCGGGACGAGGACGCCCACCCGGTCCCGACACTTCTCCTCTCCTGAACCTCGGAGGTGGGTCACGGTTTCTCCTGTTCTCCCTAGACCTCACTCTCACGACGTGAGAGTGGACCGCACACGACACGCAGTACTGCATCTTCGCGTACAGCTTGGGCAACACGTAGTTGTCGTAGATACAAGCCTCCTGAACATCACGAATAGCGGCGAGCTCGACGATATTACGGACCAAAAATCTCTTGATGGCCTTGTCCTTGGGGCACGCGCGCCCGCAGTTAGAGCAGCGGATGAAATTGGTATGCCCGCGGCCATGCTTAGACCTGCCGCGGTTTCGGCGCTTGACTGTCATTGTCGCTAGGATATGGCGGAAGAAGAGAAACAACGTGCGCGCACCGACTCAAAAGGATTCTCTCACCCCAACCCTAGCCGCAGCTATGGCGACTGTGGAAGAGAGGTTTGCTCTGCAATCCCGCCCAGTTTTATCGAAACACAGCCAGCCGGAGAAAGCAAGACTACCGGAAGGTACCGGTTGATTCAGAGGCTGGCTGATGTTCCCGGCCTGGCGTGCAAGCTTCTGCCCCTACAGAATCATATCGGTCCAGGATGGCCCTGGAAAAAAACTCGAGGCCAGCTGAGGACTTGTCCAAGAAAGGGCCCCTTGAAATCGTAAACGGGTCCGTCACATGGGCCGCCGCCGCCATTACTGCGCTCGTTGCCCATGTGAAACAGCGGCCATTCCGGTAGACCCACAGCTCAGTGTGAAACGTGCTTCCACCGATAGGGCACGCAGCCACGTTGGATTGTGCTACCTTGGGCCTGTGTGAATGCACGGCCCATGAACGGCTCGGTGAAGGCTAAAGGCGCCCTTGACCATGCTAAGCTGCCCATAAACCAAAGGTAAACCTGAAAAGTGCCACTGGCAGGGCAACAAGAAATGGGGTAGAGTGGACGATTTTCATAATGCATGGATGGTTTTGATACTATAAATGCCTATGCTAAGCGAAGGTTGTGGTTTAGTGTGGTGCAGCCTCTACCTACACAATGAGTCTTTCAATCTTTTTTTGTGAAGCGATCCGCCGGCAGACGGGGCGAAAAAAAGTTGAAGGGCGCATGACATCAGTCTGAAAGGGGCCAGTGTTGGTGAGTGTTTCACTGGTAGCCGCCTGGTATTCTATTTGCAGTCCTCAAGTTGCACTTCAGTGCGTTGTAGTGTCAATGTTGTTTCGGATGAAAGACTTCTCAATTTATAGGCTCAATCAATATAGCGCTTGCCTACAAGGTTTACCTATTTGTGTGGATTTCAGGTGGAGTGATCGATACCAACAAAATTGGGAAGGGGGGGACAACGTGGTTCGGAGGGAGTTTGCACAGGCTGACTTTTTGTTGTCACGAAGTTTCCTTATGAGTAAAGTATAATGCGGTTTATCATTTATCCTGAAGGTTTGTTCAATGTTATTTATAGCCAACCAAAAGAACGATTGTACGGAAGTGATTGATGTTTTCATGGTTGAAAAGTTAACGAGCTTTGATATTTAAGAACCTGCAAAATCATACTATAAAAAAAAAAAAAAAAAACTCACGTACAAGGGTGGAGAGTATGATTACTTTGTTATTTCATCAATCGAATATCTCAATTTGCATGGTTTGTGGCCAAAGTCATTAACTTTTATCGAAATTGGATATGAGTATAAATATATAAGTATATATAAACGTTATTTTGTTTATAATCACAAGAGTGATTACAAAGCATGCATAGCTGATAAAGCTTTATATCGATCGAGTACAAAGCATACATAGTTGATACAAAGCATACATAAAAAATAATAACATAAACAATTAATGTATATAATCAAAATAATTTTTCATTATACCATCTTCAACGTTCCTTTCTGCAATTTAAACGTGTTTTACACCGAAATCATCAGGTTTTATCAGGTTCTCGTCTGTAGGGCATGATAGTTTCAAATAACACAATACCAAATAACTTTAACGTTTCCTGTTGCAAGTTCAACATTGTTTTTAACCAAAATCGTCAAGCTTCACAAAAATTTCATTGTATTGAAGGGATTTATGCTATTGTGGTTGAAATTCATAAACTTTGGTATTGAAAAACGTATAAAATATTACTATCGTTAATGTTTAAAAAAAAAAAAAAAAACTCACGGACAAAGGTAGGGGTTATTGTTCATTTGTTTTTTTATCACTCACATGTTTCAGCTTGCAGGGTTTTAATTTATTGAAATTGGATAAGAGAAAAATATACAAATGTATACTAGGCTACCAGAGTGGCCCAGGGCAACTTGCCAAACCGAATATACTCTAGTGCCAGCGGCGTGTCTGGAGTGTATTTTTTGGCTGTGACAGACCTTTCTTTGTTTTGTGGATGTTTTGCTGGCTTGTGATGGGGTGTGAACCGACAGTTTGTAGAGTTTTCCATCTGGTGTGGGTGAGTGATAGTCTACTTTGATTTTGGTTAAGGTAGATTATCATTTACAGTGTAATCAGTGAGGGGATTTTGCAGACTGTTGAGGGTTCAGCCTCCTGATGAGTCGGTGAAAGTCCGACGAAACAGTTTGTCACAACCCCTCGTTTGTTGTCCTCTTCTCTCTCTCTGCCAACGGTTTACCGGGCAGTTCTGTTTGTGACGATATATATATATATATATATATATATATTTATATATATATATACAGGGTCACCAGCCCGTACGTACGGAGGTCCCCGGGCAGACCTCCGTATATATTTGTTTTTGAATGTTTTCCTGTGAGTTCTCTATGATGTGCGGTACATGCCTATACATTTTCAAGTCATTTGGCTGAACCAAATAAGAATTAAAAATCGCCGAAGATGGCGGTGTCAAAACGTGCTCGCCCACATTTTTTTTCACTTTTTACTTTTTGTTTTCACTTGAGTTCGGGGTCTAAGGATTTTTTTTTTTTTTTGAAACATTTTTAGTGGGTTTTGCATTATGTGAAGTACACATCTGTAAAGTTTGAGGGCATTTTGCTATGCCAAAAAAAAATAAAAAATCGCCAAAGATTGCGATGTCGAAAACGTGCTCGCGTACTTACTACATTTAATTCTTTTTTTTATTTGTTTTTATTTTTCATATTAGTATTTGTTTTTTGTATTTTATTTTTATTTCAAATTTGGTAAGGAATTTAGATGTAATGCTCAGGCAAATCTTGTTTAATTTATTTTTCGTCATAACATATATTTTTTTCATATTTTTATGGATTTGTTTGATTTTTTATTTTTTTTTTCTTGGTCCGCGTTCGCCCCGAACGGCCGAACGCATCCCCAAGAGGTCCCATACGTTGGGCGTTCGGGTTCGGGCATTCGACCCGTCCCGAACGCCGGTTACCCTGTATATATATATATATATATATACATATATATATATACATATATATATATATACAGAGTTGCCAGGCCAAACGTACGGAGGCCCCTAAGCTGACCCCCGACCGTTCGGGAGTTCGGGTCCCCGTACGGGGCCCGAACTCGAAGGGGTTCGGACCCCGCAAAAAATTATTTTGGTACCTAAAAATTATTATTTTTTTCTGATTTGTTTTTTTTTAGTTCTCTGTTATGTAAGCTAACAGTCTCGCAATTTTGAAGTCATTCTGTAGGGCCAAACAATAATGAAAAATCGGCAAAGATGGTGGTGTCAAAACTTGCTTTCCCACTTACTAATTTGTTTTTTTTTTCTTTTTACTTTTTGTTTTGCCTTTATTTCGAGGCCTGAAAAAATTATTATTTTTTTAAACTTTATTTGTAGGTTCTCTATTATGTAAAATATGTATGTATAAATTTTCATGGCATTTGACAAAGCTAAAACAAAATGAAAAATCGCCAAAGATGGCGGTGTCAAAAACTTGCTCGCCCACGCAATAATTTCATTGTCGTTTTTTTTTTTTTTTTTTTCATTAATATTATTTAGTTTTCGTATTTGATTTTTATTTTAAATTTGGTAAGTAATTTGGATGTAATGTTGGGGCAAATGTTTTTAGTTTATTCTTCTGCATGACATTTGTTTTTTTCAGAATTTTTAGAAACTGTTTTTTTTTTTTTTTTTTTTTT